TCTGAATTTCTGAATTTCTGAATTTCTGAATTTCCTGGATTTTCTGAATTTCTGAATTTCCTGGAATTTCTGAATTTCCGAATTTCCTGGAATTTCTGAATTTCTGAATTTTTAAATTTCTGAATTTCTGAATTTCCGAATTTCCTGGAATTTCTGAATTTCTGAATTTCCGAATTTCCTGGAATTTCTGAATTTTTGAATTTCTGAATTTCTGAATTTCTGAATTTCTAATTTTCTGAATTTCTGAATTTCTGAATTTCTGAATTTCCGAATTTCTGAATTTCCAAATTTCCTGGAATTTCTGAATTTCTGAATTTCTGAATTTCTGAATTTCCTGGAATTTCTGAATTTCTGAATTTCTGAATTTCTGAATTTCTGAATTTCTGAATTTCTGAATTTCTGAATTTCTGAATTTCTGAATTTCTGATATTCTGAATTTCTGAATTTCTGAATTTTTGAATATCCGAATTTCTGAATTTCTGAATTTCTGAATCTCCTGGATTTTCTGAATTTCTGAATTTCCTGGAATTTCTGAATTTCCGAATATCCTGGAATTTCTGAATATCTGAATTTTTGAATTTCTGAATTTCTGAATTTCTGAATTTCCGAATTTCTGAATTTCCAAATTTCCTGGAATTTCTGAATTTCTGAATTTCTGAATTTCTGAATTTCCTGGAATTTCTGAATTTCTGAATTTCTGAATTTCTGAATTTCTGAATTTCTGAATTTCTGAATTTTTGAATATCCGAATTTCTGAATTTCTAATTTCTGAATTTCTGAATTTCTGGATTTCTGAATTTCTGAATTTCTGAATTTCTGAATTTCTGAATTTCTGAATTTCTGAATTTCTGATATTCTGAATTTCTGAATTTCTGAATTTCCTGGAATTTCTGAATTTCTGAATTTCTGAATTTCTGAATTTCTGAATTTCTGATATTCTGAATTTCTGAATTTCTGAATTTCCTGGAATTTCTGAATTTCTGAATTTTTTGGAATTTCTGAATTTCTGGATTTCTGAATTTCTGAATTTCTGAATTTCTGAATTTCTGAATTTCTGAATTTCTGAATTTCTGAATTTCTCAATTTCTGAATTTCCTGGAATTTCTGAATTTCTGAATTTCTGAATTTCTGAATTTCTGAATTTCTGAATTTCTGATATTCTGAATTTCTGAATTTCTGAATTTCCTGGAATTTCTGAATTTCCGAATTTCCTGGAATTTCTGAATTTCTGAATTTTGAATTTCTGAATTTCTGAATTTCTGAATTTCTAATTTTCTGAATTTCTGAATTTCTGAATTTCCTGGAATTTCTGAATTTCCGAATTTCCTGGAATTTCTGAATTTCTGAATTTTTGAATTTCTGAATTTCTGAATTTCTGAATTTCTAATTTTCTGAATTTTTGAATTTCTGAATTTCTGAATTTCTGAATTTCCGAATTTCTGAATTTCCAAATTTCCTGGAATTTCTGAATTTCTGAATTTCTGAATTTCTGAATTTCTGAATTTTTGAATATCCGAATTTCTGAATTTCTGAATTTCTGAATTTCTGAATTTCTGGATTTCTGAATTTCTGAATTTCTGAATTTCTGAATTTCTGAATTTCTGAATTTCTGATATTCTGAATTTCTGAATTTCTGAATTTCCTGGAATTTCTGAATTTCTGAATTTCTGAATTTCTGAATTTCTGAATTTCTGATATTCTGAATTTCTGAATTTCTGAATTTCCTGAAAAAACAGAATTTCCGAATTTCCTGGAATTTCTGAATTTTTGAATTTCTGAATTTCTGAATTTCTGAATTTCTAATTTTCTGAATTTCTGAATTTCTGAATTTCTGAATTTCTGAATTTCCGAATTTCTGAATTTCCAAATTTCCTGGAATTTCTGAATTTCTGAATTTCTGAATTTCTGAATTTCCTGGAATTTCTGAATTTCTGAATTTCTGAATTTCTGAATTTCTGAATT